TTTGTTGAATTTTTTCAATCTCCGCTAGCAAAGCTATCTTTCGCTCATGAATATTACTGTATACCTCCTTATTCAACCGACGGAGATGAGGCACAAATTTGTTCAACATAATAACCACATCTCTAGTCGTACACCATCAAGACTACATAAGATTGATGAAGTCTGGGTGGTTCAACCAATCAACAATAAAAGGGAATGGTCTAGGAATTCAATTATTAGTCTGACCAGACAACCTGATTAGCATAGGAGATTGATCTGAGCATGTTCTAGAAAGATTCACAACATCAGCCCTATCAAACATCAATCTCCATCCTAAATTGGCACAAGTTCGATCCAATTTTTTTATAAAGCTTGGGCTTGGTATTCAATTTTGGGCCATGCCACGTCAGTCAAAGGCCATGGCCTTGAATATCCTCGACACCCTAATCCAGAAGAATAGACTGAAATTCATAACATCTAGAAAGATTAATAGACATACCTCCACGTTGTTCCAAAGGAGAAGAGATTTCACTAAAATCACCCGACAGAAGCCACAGGTCATTTGTATTAGCACATCTATTGGAAAGTAAAGGCCACCGTTGGTTACGGGAAGCACGTGAGGGACTAGGATAAATTGCGGTAAATAAGAAGGAAGTGAAATCACTCCTATTGATCTGCACATGAATGAATTGATGTTGTTGCTCAATACTAGTAACTGAAATACTAGAAGATTTCCAGATAATCCAAATACCCCCTTCTAAAACCATTAGCTTCCTCCATGATAGAGCTATCAAACCAAATTTTTTTTCATAATTTTATGACTAGTAACATTTGATGTTCGAGTCTCCACCAGAACCACTAAACAAAGAGCATATTTCTTGATCATAAATCGAAGGTGCTGAACTAATTCTCTCTTCGAAGCACCTCTACAGTTCCAAACTAAGAAAGCAGTAATTAAGACAGATATGGAATGACAGACTTTATGTGCGTCTGTAACACCTTATCACTCGATCGAAGGCCCAACTTTTCCCTTATTTTACCAACATTGCTTTTTATTTTTTTGTCCTTTGTGATTTGCAAAGTCCTCTTTGGTCTCAATAATACGGACATAATCATGGGTGGATGAGTCACTTTCAAAAACAACAACAGACTTCTTGAGCAATTCCCTATCGGACTGTAATGCGCCAACAGGGAATGAATCAGAGTTTGAAATGACACCTGACATCACAGTATCCTTGACCTGAACCTCGCCAATTTGATCCACACCCAGGACCTCGACTTTATCCTTAGTTTGAAATTCCACTCCAGAATCCTCAATCGAATCCTCGACAGTCTGCTCCTTCATCTGAATTCCAACCTGATTCTCAACCTGAATATCAACAATCTGATCCATATTGTTTAAAATATTGAAAGTGTTATGCACTATAACCGCAAAATTTGATGCATCCTGAGTAGTTACTGTAACATAACCATTCAGACTTATGGGCTGATTTGGCGCTTTGGAATTTGTTTTCCTTCCCACTACCCGCCATTCTTCTCTGACTCGAGGCTCCTGTCCAGAATCTTTGATATTGTTATTAATTTTTCTAGAGCATAAAGCGACCCTATGACCATATGTCAAATGCTCATTGCAAATTAAATTGAGTCCCTTAAAAATAATGTTTTTGTTTTCCTCTCAATGCAATACTTCATCTCCAAAGTTTTAGAAAGATCAACTTCGACGCAAATACTGTAAATTGACCATGAGCAACTTTTGTAGCAGCCACATCTGTACGAATAAATTTTCCTAGAAAAAACCTCCTCTAACAGAACAATTTTAATGAATGTTGTTGGAAATTCAGACAATCTAACCCAAATGCGCGTCCCACTAACCACCACTTTTTTTGGATCGAATTCAAGGAACCAATCCATAACATAGAGATAATGATCTTGAATCAGCCATGGTCCTCCATTCCGGGTAAGATTTAAATACACTATGGATTCAAAACGTGCAAGGTAGAATCCATTCTCTACGTCTGTAACCGCAACCGACCACTTCGAGCCCACATGCCTTCAATCTTTCTATGCTTAAAATCAAAGGAAATATGTTTGCCTAATAATTTGATAATCAGTGTTTGTCTCCATTTTCTCTAGGCACGTTCTTAAACGCTCTAGAAAGAGAAAAATTCATGATTCCATGCTTAATGTGGTCCTCCTTTCGTAAAACTTGTTCCTCACCCTCGGGGAGTTCTCCATCCCAACTCACCTTCACAGCTTTCACAATGCCAGCATTAGATCCTGGTCCCTTTCCAGTGCCATGATCAGGTGCAATATTTTTCTCTTTTGTAATATCGCAGCACCAGTCTCGCACACACCACCTTCATGATCCAAAGACACATCATGATCCACGTGATGTATTCCAAAAGAAGATGTTGATCCTTTGCCTTCATCCTGATCCGAAGACACACCATGATCCTTCTTCAATGGTGTGACCATCTCAATATGGAAAATAACCCTAGGAGAGCATTAGGGTTTCTTCTAGTTTCTTTTAGTGTTATCTATTCATTATGCATTCTTCTCTTTGATACGAGTTAAGTAGATAAAAAAAGTATTCATGGCTCACATTTTAGTATAAGAATTATAAAAAGTAGAAAAAATATATTATGAACTAATAGTTATATATAAATATATAAATATATATATATATATATACAATTTTTTTTTCAAACTACACTACGTCTTACCGGTAAGACACTCTTGAGTGAAATTTTATCAATAAGACATAGAATTAGGGGTATGCATAGGTCAGGTCGGGTCAGGTTTTTGTGCCGACTCGACCCAACTTAGTTTTTATAGGTCAAGTATTTTGACCCGATCCACTTTAATTTGATCCAAGTCAGGTCTGACTTGGTTTGGATTTTTTGAAGTAGTTCAGAATCGGGTCGGATCTGACCTGACTTGGTTTCTGAAGTGGGCCTAACTCGGTTTTTGAAGTAGGTCAAATTCGACCTAACCCGTTTTTGACTTGGTTTCAAAACATGTTTTTAATTTGATTTTTTTATATTTATTGATTTATTTTTTAAACTCGTGTAATTTAATTATTTATTTATTTTAAATAATAAATTTTATAATAAATTTGATATTTGTTGAATAAATAAAGGAATGTAATTTTAAGCCCCTGCTCATGTGAAGCAAAATTAGTGAAAATTAATGAAAAGTAAAATATGAGAGAACGCTCTTTCCATCTTAAGATGACAAATCACTAATTTCAACAATGATATATTACCAAATTACATAATGCCTACTGATAGGAAATTCATAAATTCAAAACCAAATTATACAATTATTACAAAAGCGACAGAATTTTTTCTCTAATGAAAATTTTTACAAAAATAAATTTTCTATCAAAATTTTTGACGCAATTTAGTTTCCGTCAAAAGTTTTGACGAAAATGATTTCCTCCAACAAATGTTTTAAACGAAAAAAGAATTTCGTCAAAAATTTTGACTAAATGTTTTTCGTTCAAAATTTCGATGGGAATGTGTTCTGACGAATATTTTGACGGAAAATGAAATTTAGATTGCTAAAGAATTTTGACAGAATATTTTTTCCGTCAAAATTTTTTACGAAAATTTTTGACAGAAATGTGTTCCGTTGAAAATTTTGATGGAAATATTTTTTATCAAAAAACTTGACGAAAATATTTAGTCGAAAATTTTCGATGGAAATGTGTTTCCCTAAAAATTTCAACAGAATTTTTTTTTTGTCAAAAAATTTAACGAAAATGCTTCCGTCGAAAAGTTTCGCCGAAATTTGAATTCTATAAAGAATTTTGATGAAATTTTTTTCCATAAAAAAATGTCGATGGAAATATGTTTCGTCGAAATTTTTGATGAATATGTTTTTATTGTGAAATATCTTGACAAAATTTAGATTCCGTAAGAAAATTTGACACAAAAAATTTTCCGTCAAACTTTTTTACAGAAATATTTTTAGTCACAAATTTTGATAAAAATATTTTTCGTCAAATATTTTGATGAAAATATTTTCCGTAAAATTTTTTGACATAATTGTTTTTTGTTACAACTTTTCTTTTAACGTAAGTGTGATATTTTTTTCACATAATGGGTGTGGGTCAAGTTTTGGATCAATGGATCATTATTAAAACAAGTCAGGTCTAAAACAGACCCAAATAGAAGTGGGTCAGTATTTAAACCTAGTTCAAAAAAATAGGTATTTATGGGTCAAGTCAAGGGCAGAGCAAGTGAACCAGTTTTTTTGCACTCCCCTACATAGAATAGTTTGTAAGTTTGTAAAATAAAAGTTTTTCAATATAATCCTCATCTGTATATATATATTCAGTATTTATATATAGGGAAAAATATTTCTCAAGTTGTTTGTGATAAGTTTATCTCCGGCCACCCCAAAACTACGTCGTTTTGTTTATTTATTTCTTTATATTAATCGATTCACCTTTGAATGGTTATGATTTCTTTTTTCTCTCTCTTACTTTATCACCATTGATCCATCTTTATACGGTTATGATTTAGTAGCTGGAGATAACATTGTCTCAAACAGCTGGAGAAACGATAAGCCCTTATATATATTCAACATTCATTTTAACTTGTTATATTTAAGGTGTTTGTCATTTAAAATGACATAAGTTATGTCATTTTAAGAGAGAGATAGACACAGAAAAACGAAAATCATGGGAGAGAAAAAGTGGGTGGTTTTTTTTATTTTAAAATTCGAATTTTCTATGTATGTATCTCTCTTGAAATGACATAACTTTCTGTCATTTAAAATGACAAACACTTTTCTCTATATTTAATTATAATATCAGACGTTAGTTTTTCAATCAGCCATTACAATTCAGCATTTTATTCTTTGAAATCCATTCCCCACTTTACAGGAGGCAAAGAGCTCACACTTATAATGGCTTGTCTTATTTAGTATTTTATTATAGCAGAATATGTATGACATAATGTCATACCATAGCATATCCAAACATGGATATACGTTTGGTACATCCAGCAAAGAAATTAGCAAGTAAGATTGTCACCAGGAGCAACACCGAGTTGTGAACAGTATTGTGTGTAATAATTCACCCGAGCCTGAACTGTATCAGGGTTGGCACCATCACATTCACGTTGGCCATTGATAGCCCTTATGGTTGCGCCAAATCCCTGGTTTATGATAGGGCGCACATTTTCCATCCAGTACCATAATGCTGTCTTGAAAGACACCACAGGGTCATTGGCCACTGTCTCTGGAGCATTCAATCCATCGAAACCATTGCTCTGCCCTGCTGGTCCATAGTTGAAGTTCCATGATAGTTGGATAAGTCCACGTCCATAGTACCCTTTGTTAGGGGCGCATGGGTATTGGGTGTTGGTTTCGTCGCAATAGTCCTTTGATGCACCATCAATCTCTTCGATGTAGCAAAAATCTGCATGCACGTAATCATGTTAATTAACCATTCATTCATCACACTTTATACACATGCATATGTAGAAGATAAATAGTTGTGTTAAAACTTGATAAGGAGAATTTTTTCGTCCATGTAATCTTATTCAGATTGAATCGAACTAGTCGAATAATCAATAAATCAATAGATAATATATATGAAAAAAATAGATAAATAGTTATAAGATTAATACTAACGTCCAGTTTCATGGGTGAAATGGGCAAAAGCAGCTGCAAGCTCACGCTTAGAGTCATCCACAGTATCAAGCCTACCAAATTGATTGTAGGAATTGAGAGCATTGAGGAAAGCATCTCGTGAGTAGAAGTTCTTCCCTGCACAACTAGCATCTGCCTCATCAATTATACCATTGAAGAATTCTGGTGTGACTATGTCAGCTACCGGAACATCGCTTTGGGCGCTCACAATTTTGGGCACCGTCATCATCATCATGACAAAGGTTGCCACAGATTTTGCAACACGAATGTTGAAAAACTTGTTATTCCCCATACGCATCCTCATCTTGGGAAAATTGCTAGCTAGCTAGTAGCTAATAGATATGCAAGACGAATTAAACTGTTTGATGGACAAGGTTGAGAATTGAGAGCACAAAGAAACGTATATTTATAGTGCGACTGCTAGGACTTTGAATTTTAGCCCTGCGCTGTTCAATGTGAGTTCGTTGTTGACATTTCAGTCTGAAAATTGCGAGATTAGAATTTGTTCCGTTCTAAAAAGGATAAAGTCTGATAGTATAAGACCTGATTGTATAAAACTTGATTGAATTTTAATACTATTTAGTGTTTGACACGATATTGTATAAAATAATATATTGTATAAGATAATATCATCTAGTATTTGGTAATGCACTGTATAATACTATATATGATAAAAATAAATATTTTTAATAAAAATATCCTTTAATAAAGAATTTATATAATTCTTCAAAAAATGTCATATGATATTAATTTTTATAAAAATTTATTGATCAGTGTGTCCAAAATATAAATTAATTTTTATAAAAATAAAAATATTCAATATTTTAAAAATTAATATATTGAAAATTTAATTTTTATTTTAATAGATTAATATTAAATAATATATTAATTTTTGAGAATTACATTGGTCAACGATGTTAATACATCAATCCCTTATCATGCCTTATCCCTCTCCCTTAGGCCGGATTAAGTTATACATCGTTTTGATGTATTAAGAGATTATGCTGTATAAGCTTATACTATACGATGGACACACCAAACAACTGAAAATTTCATAACGTATAGTATAAGCTTATACTATCGTGCCTTATACATCTTAGGGCATGTTTGGTGCATAGTATAGGATAAGGCCTGATAGTATAAGACCTGATTGAATTTTAATATTATCCAACGTTTGGTACAGTATTGTATAAAATAATATATTGTATAAGATAATATCATCTTGTATTTGGTAATGCACTGTATAATACTATATAGGATAAAAATAATTTTTTAATAAAAATATCCTTTAATAAAGAATTTATATAATTCTTAAAAAAATGTCATATGATATTAATTTTTTTTAAAATTTATTGATCAGTGTGTCCAAATATAAATTAATTTTTTTATAAAAAAATATTCAATATTTGAAAAATTAATATATTGAAAAATCAATTTTTATTTTAATATATTAATATTAAAATAATATATTAATTTTTGAGAATTACACAAGTCAACGATGTTAATACACTAATTTCTTATCAGACCTTATCCCTCTCCCTTAGGCCGAATTAAGTTATACATCGTTTTGATGTATTAAGGGATTCTGCTGTATAAGCTTATACTATACGATGATCATACCAAATAATTAAAAATGTCATAACGTATAATATAAGCTTATATTATCAGGCCTTATACGTTGATAACATGGGTCCGATTTTGACTTTATATATGGCTATGATCTTTGTACACCAATAAGGTCAATTATGCCATTAAATGGAGGTGGATGGTGGTGTCCTTGTTTGATAAAGTCTTCGTCTGACTTCTCCGTGTAAAAACTAAAAAGCCAACATGAAATGTAGTAGCCGTGTTTCATGTTTGAATAGAAAGTTACCACGTGGCAAGAGTTGAGATACAGCGAATGCAATGATTGGTTATCCACGTGGACCACATCCAGCTGCATTGAGGCTGGTAAGTGGTGACTGGTTGCAGCGGTGATGGATCCCTCACACCAAGCCGCCGAAGGTGGGCCGGTATTACAATATACATTTATTTCTTTTATAAATAATAGTTTTTAATTTTAGTAATAATAGATTCTTTTTTTATTACAGAAGATAAAAACAAAATCTGAATCTGAATAATTCTTTGATTGATTCTGTATTATATGAAACGTCATGTACAGTATGTCATATATAAAGGAATGCGGAAATCAGCAATGCAAAGGAAAGGTAAAATTAAGGAAGAAAACATAACGCAGTTACAACAAACTTGATGATCTGGCAAAACAGAAAAGAATCTATTATTATTAAAATTAAAAACTATTATTTATAAAAGAAATAAATGTATATTGTAATAGCCGGCCCGGGCCCACTTTCCAAAAGTTATATATATTCCCTTAACGATATGATTCTTTATTTGCAAATGATGAAAAGAAAAAAAAAATATTATTGGGAGAATTTTGAGAAGATCAACCAAGTCAAAAGATTGAATTTAAATGACAGATGGAAATGACGATATTTTTAATTATTAGTTTGCACAGTCTTCAATTTTTTAAATATTTTTTAATTGTTAGATGAAATTTGTTATTAATTTAATTAATAACTTGAGTTTACTTTTTATAAGTAAAATTAATATAAGGTTTTATTCAATAATAAAAACATTATTAGAAGAGGGATTTTTCAATTCCTATGACAAGCGAAATGGAGGAGGGTCACGTCAGGTTGATAAGACAAGGGCCAGCCGCGGCCTTATCCATGACATAATGTTCGAGATCTACATTGCAACAAAATAAGACAAAGAAAACCTCGACAGGAATAGAGAAAGGAAAAACTTTTCATATCGAGACCATAACCCGACTGACATCATTAATGTTGGATTCATATCCTAATCAACATAACCATGGAGGAGCACATTTTCCAAATAAAGGAACTCGGCAAGATCAGGTCCGAGATGATATTTCAGCACTCCGGCATTATGAGCTTTAGAATGCCGAGCTGGGGGTAACTGTTATGGATATATAACATATTCTAACTACTTATCTAAGAATTCACTAAAAGGATAAATGCTTAATTATCCTAACAATATCAAGTAACAAAGCTACTCAAGATAAAGTCATTATTATCTCAACATAAAGGAAGTTGAATCCTACTGCAACTGGGAGATCTGCACAAATTCTATAAGTAACCCTTATAAACAAGAGGCTAAAGACCCCAGGTACACACTTTTTGACCTATTTACTATTACTGCCAACACTGTGCACACACTCACGTCTATAAATTTATTGTTTGTGCACAGTGATTGAGATACTAACTATAATTCAGCCAAAATACTTATCTCTGAAGTATTTCTGATGCATACCATGCGATATAAGAATATGGTTCTATAGGACCTAACAGAACCCAAAATCCCAAATTGCACCATAATCGAAAATGGAATCAGCAAAACCATAATTGAGGTTCTACTCACATAACCGTCATGGATAGCGATTCAAAGCAACCGAAGTTTAGCATCTAACACATCAAAACCATAACCGAAGTGTCATTCTCTTTTTTGCTTTTTGTTTTTAACATTTTTATAATAGTTTCTGATTAATTTTTCTAAAATATAATTGCTCTTCAAATATAATATTCAAATGTCTTATTTATTACTTATTACTTATTTTTATTTTTATTTTATCAAATTTTCATATTTTTGCAGTGGGGATGTTTTCAAATATTACACATATTAAATTAGTACACTTTTTATGAGTGACTAATCTCTTACCTTACTCTTTTTCAAAAAATTGATATATGTCATTCCTAACTTTTCTTTTACAAAAAACAAAAAAATATTTTAAATTAATTATGTATGTTTTCTTTATAATTTTATAAAATTTATTTAAATTTAAAAATACCCCTACAATGTAGGGAATAATTACTAGAAAGTCACTGTCAAGTGTGAAATTACAAAATTAGGAAAAGTTCAAAAAAAAAAAAATTTCTCTGATTCACACTTTTATTACTTATTTTTCTTCATATTTTTTTTTTCAGTTAAGTTCGCCTTTAACACTATTTAAAATTGGGTTAATATGTTCATTTTGACCTGTGAACAGTTTAAAAATCACGATGGATGTAAGTGATTTAAAAAAAAAAACACAGAATAAATGATAAAAAAAAAAAAACTACCGGGGAGAAAGTTAAATGATAATATAGGGAATAAATGATAAAAAAAAATAAGCCACATAGAGTTTTTGAATTTTTTTCTAATTTAAAATAGGGGAACAAGTAGCCTTGTCCAATAAGGAAAAACTTGCGCAATACTATTTTATTCTTAAGCTGGAAGTAACCAAGCAAGAAGTTGCAAGATTACAATTACGCAAAACCCATGACAGACATGTTTTCATTATTGGATGAAGCCATGGGATACAGATAATTGACAAAGTAACAATAATATTTTCATCTCCTCTACTTAGAAGTCTCCTTCTGTTCTCCTGATATCATTTACTCCAACCCCAGGAGTTTCCAATTACTGTCATAAATGAATACATACAATGTAAATCTGGGATAAGATTGCTCTTTGACATTCAAATAATGTTCATGCTCCAGATTGCTCTTTGACATTCAAATAATGTTCATGCTTCAGATAAGGTTCTCAAGACGGATCACATTTATGCTTTAAAGTTTAGACTTTAGAGCATATTACCTCAAAATCCCTTGTAAATTGTATCTTGAGTAGTCACTCTAAGTTCTACTCTTTCATCATTATTTTTTCCGCACGGTCACTTTCATTGCCTAGTGGCGTCAGTTGTCTCACACCACCGCCACTCGCATATTTTTAAATTAATGATTTGTTTATTTGAGAGGTGTATTTACATAACATATGTTAAAAGTTACGGAGAAAGTGTACTTTTTTTTAAAGGACGATTTGTTAAGAAAGAATAAGAGATAGATCATGAGAAGAGAGAAGAAGAAAAAAATCTCACCAAATGATGGAGTAGAGCACTTTTTTTTGTACTAAGGGAGTATATACATCCCTTCCAAAATTAGAAATTTTTAGGACTTGTTGGAAAATACATGCAAAAGCAAGGATTCAAATGGTATAACTTTTTTCTACTTTAGGAAAGAAGGATTATCTTCTATAGTATTGAAATTTTTTTCCAAATGATGATAGCGCAGTTGGTAGCAATTGAGTTAATAAGTGAAAAGAAAAGTACCTCAATTTGATCTCCATATGCCACCTTTGGAAGTGGTTTAAATATTTTCATTTTTGTCCTGCCTCGCACTCCGAATTAGTCTCATAGCCGGTTCTAAGAATCGAAACTCGACTCAAAGAAAT